CTACATCCTTCTCCAGCTCTGTCCAGAACCCTCTGTTGTGATCCTGGTCAGAGCAGTCAGCGGTGGTAGCCGGGCACCATCTAGCTGTACTGGACTCATAGACTGAGAATTTTTAACAAAACATGATGGGCAAGAGACTGAGAATATGTCTCTGCCACTTTCTCTAGTCATTTGTATGTTATATTTTATATTTTATCGTTCAAAAGTTATCATTAGTCACTGTTCAACCACACTACAGTTTAAAATACAGAAATTATCACACAGGAAAAAAATACATATAATCACAACAGTTTGATTAAATAGCCAAAAATTTAATACTTAACTACAGGAAAATAAAGGAATATACCTCTTAAAGAAATATCCATTTGCTTCAAACTGTTCTCTCAGCATAAACTTCCCTCTGTACTCAATAATAAGTGCATCAGGAGGCAAATCTTTTGCAGACTTCAGAATTTTCTTATTCTTTTGTATATGGCTCTAAAATCAGAGTAAATGTTGAGATGAATTAAACCTGCTTGCTTTTCAGTCTAGCTACTGAAGATATAAAGTATAAAAAGGTTTTTGTTTTTAACTTTTTGACAACCTCTATTTACCTCTACAGGAGGTTTGAAGAGTAAATTATTGGTATTCAAATCTGATTTATTCATTTCTTTTTTGTCGTTTCCATTGCCTAATCTCAGGGCTATTCTTTGTGCCTCCTTCTGAACACCTTCACTATACTGATTATTATTTGCCTCTTCATATCGATCCATCCACGCTTTAATTTTTGTCTCCCATCCAAAATTTGAACCATCAGATGAAGGATCAATCTCTGGAGCTGAACCCTAAAATAATAGCAAAGCGGTAATATATAGACATAAAGTATTTATACAAAAATATGTAAAACATAAATGACAACCCATATAAAAGAACATAATATAAATCAGAAATAAGATTTGGCTTTCTAAGTTGGTCCTAGTGGAAAAAGGACCATGAATCAGCCTCCCACATTTTTATATTGCGTGCCAGACAAATACTACGTGGAAAACTGAAAGAAGCTAAGTCAGAACAGCAGAAATTCAAGCTTCACTACTATTGTAGCCAAGTGGAAGATTCAGTGGATTGCAAATACCTGAAACTTCAGTGAACCAGACAATAATTATTATGTGAGTTACACATGCTTCATATTAAGAATAAATCTGACTTAATACTATAATTTTAACATGTTTTATAACAAAAATATACTTTGATAATCTTAATTTAGTACAGTCTATAATCCGTTATACACATGATAAATCTGACATTGGATCAAAATGACTCACAGAATGTGAAATGACCTAAAATGATCCACAGCCTAAATTCATGGGCTATAATGAGGGTAAGAACTTTCTAGCTTAAAGTGCTTGCTCCTCCTCGATCCAAAAAACAAAACCCGTTGCCATCCAGTAGATTCCAACTCACAGTGGCCCTAAAACTTGCAAGATATGAATGCTAAATGCCAAGTAATAAAAGGTTACCACCTCTTCTTAATATCCTACAAAAAGAACCCTTTTCTAACTGGATAACAATTTACTGAAAGGCACAATTACCAACCATTTTAAAATGTATTAAAATCTGGAGTACCACAATTATATTCAATTAATTCTTATTTGCAATCTTATGATGAAAACCAACTACTGCAGATAACAAGAAGATACACTATATCTTATGGTTAGCTTCATTCAGAATTATAATGGATATGATATGTAAAATTTCAACTTAATTATAAATGCTGTTTATCAATTTCTTTTTACAATACTGAAAACCTTGATGAGAAAACAGATTAATTCTGTACTACGCACAACCTAACAACTGTGAAATTAAAAAATCACAGATTTCATAAGATCCTTATATATACTTTTAGACATGCATATGCACATATGTACAGTAACATGTTCCTAAAATTTACCATCAGCCCACTCTTCATATGACTGGCCAATCTTTATTTAAAAAGTATCATTCTTGTCTACAATGAAATATAAACTATAGTAAGCTGCTTAACTGTTTGATGGGGGTAGACTTATTTTACCAATTGTTATTTTATATATACACCTCATCTACATTATAGTGATCATTTGATAAAGAAGAAATTTTTATAAAATATGGGACACTACTTATATTTAGGCTTTCTTCTGCTTTATTAAAGAAATCTATTCAGCTTTGTCCCCACCTCAGCAATTTTAGCATCTGCAAAATTGAGGATGCATTCTAATTAAAAAACCAGGTACAAAAGACTGATATACCTTACGCTTCTAAGAGGGCTCTATAGTGATTTTACAGTACATTATGATAACTCATTTGAATAAATCACTAGAATTCCAATTATGTAAAATAATCAATTATCAAATTCCAAGTGTGATTTTGCATTCTTATTTCTAGTATATTAATACACAGTGGTATTACAGACATGGAATGTAGTGATCATTGAAATTCAGATGATCAAAAGTTTTAATATTAGAAATTGCTTATATACTTCCTCTCTTTTTCTTAATATTTAAACAGTGCTAATAAACTACAAGACTAGTTTAATAATCCAGTTAGAATTTTCTATGATCCCACTTCTGGTAAAGATACTAATAAGCAATGAAGTGACACACAATGAAGACAGCATAAAGATTATAGATAAGCAACCACTTAATAAGCTCCTGAATAATCACAGTTGATACTAATGGCCTGCAATTTAATGTATTTACCTTAACTCTTGATGATTTCCTAGATCCTTCACGAAAGGCCTAAAATAAATATGGAATTCTGGGTTATTATTTTTAAAATTGAATATAATTAATACTTATGAATCAACCTAATCATTGAAGCCATTTAATGAAATTTCATAGCAACAAAAAAAAATGTGTAATAACCATTAAATTCAGAATGAGCAGAATGTTTTAAGTAAATAAAGACACTTACTGGAATATACTCTTATCGAAAATAAAATGCAGACTATGTAAGAACATGAAAACGTGTATGATATGATGCTAAGACAAAAGTATACATGTTTTCTGTGTGCACTAATATTACAACTATGGGAAAATAATTATGATAAAAATTGGTAGGGTATTAAAAATAATTTTGCTGAGGTGATGAGACAAGTTTAGGGGGCATAAAATAATGTCCTTACTTTAATTCTGTAAGTCAAACAGCTAATAATATTTGAGCACTTAATGGGGCCTCAGTAATAAATGCTGTTGTAAACAGAGCTGCATGTATTTGTTCAATAAATATATACTGAGAGCCCATTTATCTGCAATGATCCAAAAGAGATCATTAGACTTAATTCCTATCTCTCTCTGCCCCTTCCCCCAACAAAAAGCATACACTCTAGATAGACTAACAAACACAAACTTAAAGCAAGCAACACAGATCCAAATACATTTAAATACCCAGTTTCTGTGCCCGTCACCTGTTGAAAGAACGTAAGATTTTTAAAAAGTACAAAAACCTTTCATATTAAAGGTGGAACAAGAGCTAGGTGGACCATACAGAATGAATATATTTAGACAGATGGACAAGTAAAAAGGAATATGATACTGGTAGTCGGAAAAACTAAAATAAAAGGTGTGAATTAGGTAGAAATATGTCATATTCAAGGAAAAACAAATATACCATAATTTTATCTACTTAAAAGTAGTGACACATTAGATTGGCTAGAGAATGTAAAATTAGATAATGGAAACCTTATTTAAAAGTCAAATTTTATGATGCCAACTTAAATGCTAAATATTCTTTACTATGAAAAAGGAATCTATAAAATACTTTTGAGCAGAGGAGGGATATAAAAATGATATTTACAGAAAATCTGATAACCAAATGCAAAATAGACTGAATATAGGAAAAAGGATAAAGTTAGAGAAAGCAGATAAGAAGAACTTACTGCACTACTATGAGGTATGAGGGCTTAGACTGGATTTGTAGCAGCAAAAGAAAAGAACAGTATGCCTGGGAGACATTTCAAAGAAAAAATTGATAGAACTTTTGAAAATAAATCTGCATGTCAAAGCTAAAGATAACTTAAAGATTTTTAAGCCCTGGCAATAGCTGTGCTGCTGGAAAAAAAAAAAAAAAATTAAAGGATGGTCAAGGAAGATATAAGTTTGGTTTAGAAAGGAAACACTGCAAGAAAAATGGAAAAAATAATAAAACATTCATAATATCTGCTGACAACGGTTTTATGAACTAAAATAATCAAAATGAGTTAAAAAATTATTTTCATGTTAAAATTAGAAAATATGACTTAAAAAATCCTAATTCATATATGGGCCACACTACAGAATCCATGTCTTTTAATACTTTATTCTGTATTATTAATGTTAATACTTTACGTCAAAATCCTGAATTGCTAAAATGGCAACGATTCCTTAATAGAGTTTTATGAATATTTTTAGACTGCCATTTGCCCAGAATATTACTGCTAACTCCATTCTCATTTTTAACTACTGACCATAACATTATCAGTAGGCTGAAAAGAGAAAACTATGTACCTTTTTGCTAATTTATTTTTATTATATGTTACTCCCAATGATAAAAACTTAAGTGAAGAGCCAACTAGATATCTTTTATACCTAGTTCCTGAATTCCTTTTTTTAAATCGCTGTAATGTATTATAACTAAATACCAGAAAACTTCTCCTTTTAAGTACACAGCAATATTCTAAAATAAATATGACACAATACAAGACCCAGAAGTTATTTTAAATACTCGAAAGTCATTTCAGCCAGAAAAAATGCAGAATCTATGTTTTATTTAAAAAATAGATTTCAATTTAATCAAATGAACTCAAAACAAAAATACACAAGGATAAAATTTCCAAGTCATTTTTATATAACAGGGAAACATAATTTGAAAGTAGTAGACAAAAAAGTGAGTCAATAGCTGTGAGTTCCTAAATTCCAACAGGCACTTAACAATCTCTCTTTGTATAAGTTACAATCTATCAAAGACGAGGAAAATAACAATGGAACAAGACAAAATGGTTAAGTGTTATAATAAAAGGTTCAAAGGTCATGATGGGATGCAAAAAAAGATCATAATTTATAGAAGAAAAGCAAATTTCAAGGAGGAAGTAGCACTTGAGATGGTGAATTCAGGTCAAAGCACGGTAAAAGCTTAAAAGATGGAGAAGAAAAAATTCCAATTGGTGATGGAAACAGCATAAGCAAAGACAACATGTCCATCCAAGGATCATGCTTTCAGGGGGACATCTCGGTCAACTGGCATAAGAAAGTTTATTAAGAAAATGTTCTGCATCCTACTTTGGTGAGCAGCGTCTGGGGTCTTAAAAGCTAGCAAGCAGCCATCTAAAATGCATCGACTGGTCCCAACTCACCTGGAGTAAAGGAGAATGAAGAACACCAAAGTCACAAGGAAAGTATTAGCCCAAGAAACAGAAAGGGCCACATAAACCAGAGACTCCATCAGCCTGCGACCAGAAGAACTAGATGGTGCCTGGCTACCACCAATGAGCGCCCTGACAAGGAACACAACAGACAGTCCCTGATGGAGCAGGAGAAAAGCGGTGTGCAGAACTCAAATTTTAGTAAAAAGGCCAGACTTAATGCTTTGATTGAGACTGGGGGACCCCGTAAGACATGGCCCCAGGACTCTCTGTTAGCCCAAAACTAAAACCATTCCTGAGGCCAACTCTTCAGACTATAGGACATAAAATGATACTCGTGAAGAGTGTGCTTCTTAGCTCAAGTAGAGAAGGCAGAGAGAGTCAGGAGCTGGTTGAATGGACACGGGAAATTGTGGTGGAAAGGAGGAGTGTGCTGTCACAGTATTGGGAAAGTAATTAGGATCACATAACAGTGTATGTATAAATTTCTGTATGAGACACTAACTTGAACTGTAAACTTTCACTTAGAGTACAACAATAAAAAAAAAGACAACATGTCCAGAAAGTGAGAGAAGAATCTGGTAACAATAAGTTGTCCAGATTGGATAAAATACAGGCAGAAGAGCAGCAGAAAAGGATAGGGACATATACATGAAGACTGCTAGGAAGTCAAGGCGTATTTTAAACACAGCGGTGAAATCAGGAACACAGAAGAGGTATATGCTACCTATTAAGTAACCAAACATATCATGAAGAATACTTAGGAAAATATACTTCTATGAGTTAGAATCGACTCAATGGTAATGGGTTTGGGGTTGTTTTTTTTTAATACCAATATGTTGTCAGGTGCTGTTGCGCCAGTTCTGACTCATAGTGATCCTATGTACAACAGAACAAAACACTGCCTGGTCCTGCGCCATCCTCACAATCACTGTGAGAAGTACTTTTTATCTTATACAACAAAAATCTGCTTTAGGGATTATAATAAATTTAATGATAAAGTGGTTTGTAAATAGTTTTCTGCCACTAGGGATCCCAGGAATAATTTATCACATAAAATTTATGTGAAAAAAAAATCTACACGGTAAAAAATTCAACAAGAAGGAGCCTTGATTAGATATTCAAATAACCCAAAACAAACCCGTTGCCATCACGCCGATTCCAACTCATAGCAACCCTATCGGACAAAGTAGACCTGCCCCATAGGGTTTCCTAGGCTGTGAATCTTTATGGAAGCAGACTGCCACATCTTTCTCCCATGGAGCGTCTGGTAGGTTTGAACTGCTGACCTTTCTGTTAGCAGCCAAACACTTAACCACTGCATCACCAGGTGTCCAAGATACTCAAGTAGTTAGAAAAAAATCATTTGCAATCATTATATGTAAATGTGTTTCTTTACCTGTTCTTAAGTTATTAAAAATTTAGGACTGTTATTTCTGTTTTCTAAAACCGCAGGTTTTTTCTATTTTATTTTGACTTTTGCATTTCTGTAACTAGTCTCATTAGAGTGATGATTTCAAAGCAGTTTGCAAAAAGTTTCTTCTCTATTCTGCTTTAATCTTTAAAACACATTAAAATTTTTAATAATTGTTTAAAATTAAAAACCAAAAAGCTTTTACTAGGCCTTGCCCCCACCTTTTCTAGCTACTCTCCTGCCTCTATTATTCTTTCTTTCTCATAAAACACCTGTCTTTACTGTAAAACTCTGCTGCCTTTACTTCCTAACTACTCATTTTTTAAAAAGCAAAAACTTACTTTTTTACATTTTGAAATATTTTGCTCTTTCTCCCCACTTTTTTTCCTTCTTTTATCATTAACCTTGGAAACTCTTGAAGCAGTTAAAGTAATCGATGTTGGAGTATGCTGAAATGCAGTATATAATTCCACAGGAACCTCATCACCACTCTCAGTTGCACTGGTATCACCATCTTCAAAGGCAAAAGAAAAATTACTACACAGGTAATACCCTATTTCAAACAGTAAAATAAAATAGCATTCCACATGATTGGATTGTGAGATTGGATTGGATCTCCATCTTTCTGAATAAACAACACACTTTTTGCCCCCTTCATTCATCTCACTCACAATAATAAGACAAATTCAAATGAAAACTACAAATACCTGTCACTCATTAAGCTGGAAAGAATCCAAGGGTCTGACAACATACTCTGGTGGTGAGACTAGGGAAATTCAACATTCTCTATGAAGGGAAATTTAGCAGCATCGAGCAAAATTATATATGCACTTACTGTTTGACCCTGCAATCCCATTTCTGGGGATTAATCCAAAGACAAAATGGCAAAAGTACACTAAGGTTTTGTTGAAGGTACTATTTGTAATAGCAAAAAAAAAAAGATAGAAATAACCCAAATGTCCATTGAGGAGGAATGGCTGATTAAATTATGATTGTTCAAAATCAGTTGTACTGGTAAAGTTTTAAGCCAAAATGAAAATTATGACATGTTATACTTCTAAATTCTGTTTCTAAAAATGAAAGAAACGCTATTCCACGTTACAAACTAACCAATCACTATCTTTCTGGAGAACAAATATATCTTATTTTTTAAACTCATGGGTTACCTATGTGTAGAAAAATTATTCATGATTTTAAACATTTATTTTCCTCTTTCCATATTTCCTAAAATAAGTACGCACTGATTCCATAATCTGAAAAACAAGAATATTTAAATTCTATACCTGAGATTGTAAATTATACAGTCAACATTCATCAGTGAGGCATTTGCATCTAAAAAATACAGACCACTTATTCTCTCAATAACACTAATTTTAATTTAGTACAGATCGTTTTAACCTACCTGACATATTTTCCCTTTTCCGACGTTGTAGTAGCACCGCCCTCTCTTTATCCAAACTCCTACAATAAAATATTAACATGATTACTTACCAAACTTTCATTAATTTAAATATGAAGCAGATCTGTTTTAAATGTGATAAACTTCACAATTTCTTTAATTTTTTTAGTGAAAAACCAACAGTATAATATATATGCAACATCCTTTGCCTTATAGTTTAGATATGATCTAGTATAATTAACAGATGTGACTCCTTTGCATTCTGTTAAGAAAATTTTTTATTTTTTTTTACTAAGGAACTTGGCAATTTAATTGCTTTAAACTGAACATTTAAAGCAAAAGTCTAAAACAATCATAATAATTTTAAAAATGCAATTAAAATCATAGAATTAAAATTTTTAAACATGTATATTGAATTAGAATCTGTGACATTACTACCATTAGCCTCAAATTATTTCCACTTTTGAAATAATAAAAATTATTTAGCCATTAAGTAAAATATTCCATTAATCTCCCCCAACACCCTCATGAACTACATCATCCATAAAAACTGTTTTACTTTCTTTTTCCAACTCTTCATTGTATAAACTTATCAATTTAGAGGCCAAATAACAGTAAATATTATTCTCAGAAGAATAAGAAAGAGCTCTAGACTAAAACATCTAAAATTTAATAAAAGACTTGCCTTAATGTCTACTAGGACGTATAACTATCTTAGCAACACAGATAACTATCCCAGTTATCACAGAATGATACACAGATATTTCTCAACTGAATGCCCTCCTAATGGTCAGTTTTTAACCAACTCTTAATGAATTCATCAACAGATATTTATCCCATCAGAAACTATCTGGCAAGAGGCTAATCACTATCATAAAGTGAAACAAAACCACACAGAAAAACCTCATAATAATAAAAGAAATGCAAAGTATAATAACTACACTGAGATTACCATTTCTCACCTAATTAGACTGGCAAAAATCCAAGTCTGTCAAACATTCTATTGTGAAGCTTGGGAAAATAGGGATGCTCATCCATTACTGGTGGGAATTCAAAATTGTACAGCTCTTACTGGAGGATAATTTGGCAATATCTGGCAAAATTATATATACATTTACCCTTTTACAGAACAATCCCACTTCTATTTGCAATAACAAAAGACTGGAAACAACTCAAATGTCTACCCAAAGAGGAATGGTTCAATAAGCTATAGTACATCGTACAGATGGAGTACCCTGAATCTATAGAAATAAGCTATGTCTGTATATACTACTATAAAGTGATCTTTAGCATATATTTTTAAGAGAAGAAAGAAATACAGTAAAAACTCTATTATCATATGCTACTGTTTACTTAAGGAAGGAGAGGAATACAAATATATGGGTACATAACTTCTTATAATGGAAAACTAGCAATGGAAGGAAAAATCAATTTTTTAAGATAGTTACTTCTAGGATGACATGGTGGAAGGGAAAGAGAAAGAAGTTAGACTTATTTAAATATACCTTGTTTTATATATTTGACTTTTGAATGATAAAACTACTTCTTACATAATTATAAAGGTTTTAAATTTAAAAAGCAATACTTAAAAATCAAAAATCACTCATACATTGTTGGTGGGAATGTAAAATGGTGTAGCCACTCTGGAAGAGAGTTTGGTAATTTCTCATAAAACTAAATATGTATACAACCAAACAACTGTAGTCTTGGCTATTTACTCCCAGAGAAATGAATACTTATGTTCACACAAACCTGTACATGAATGTTTATAGCAGTTTTATTTGTAACAGCCAAAAAATGAAAACAATCCAAATGTCCTTCAAAAGGTGAATGATTAAACAAACTTTACTACATACATACCAGGGGTTGTTGGTAACTGTTGAACTAGAGTGATGGAAACGTGTGAGTTCATTATACTATTTTACTTTTACATAGATTTGAAATGTTCATAATCAGAAGATAGAAAAGAAATAAGAAGAAAAACATACAGCAGGATACTGCAAAAAGGAGGGAACTTCTGCAACTAACAGAACATGCTTCTAATGACTCTTTAACATAGAGTATGGGGGTGGGGATGCCATAAATAAATAAATTCTCTACCAAGTAAACCATGACACACTATAAATGGAAAGAGTCTTCCTGATTTTAGAGATGTTGGAATAACAAAAATGAGGACATAAAATGAAAAAGTATAACTTAGAATACGGAATTGATGAAATACAGTACTTCAATTCTTTAATCTCCAGAATTCGTAAGTAAATTTCTGTTAACTAAAGATTACTTCAGTAAAATCAGCAATATTATGAGCTATGTGCAACTCACCTAGGCTGACAACGTTCACATAGATATGTATCAGGAATATGCTGCCTGTCAATCCCCATGCAGTCAATATGTTGCCAAACACTTAAAAAAAAAGAAAAACAAAAAGAAGCAGAACATATATTTTTTAAATTATCCTCAAATTAAGATTTGATATTTCAACTATTACTTAGTAAGTTCTAACTTTGCAATTAACACTCTAAAAGGTGCTGTAAGAAATTCATACAAATATGATCTCAGGATAAAACTTTTTGAGATGCAAAAACAAGAGAACTAACACCGGATACATACACACATATATGTATGTGCATGTTTATATATACAAACTTCTAAAGCAAATATAACTTTAAAACATAAAAGATATAGGTTACAAATATATTAGAAATCACAAAGTTTAAGACATATTTACCCCATCAAAAACTCTGGCAAGAGGCTAATAACTACCAAAAAGTGAAAATTATGTAACACCAATCACTGCTTGGAGTTAATGAAAAAAGGACCCTGAAGAATACTGGACTTGAACAGAATCTCATTTGGGAAATTAGGAGGAAAAGACATCACTGTAGCAACGTTTTCTCAATTAAACAGATACAATGAGCAACAGCCAGAAGAAGGACAACATACCAGAAGAGAAATGTTCATTTTGAGAGACAGAAAGGAGGAAGACTGGATTAGTAAACTGCACTCTGATTATGTAAGATTTTGAATGTCAGGATGTGTGTAGATTTCCTCTAACCTGCAACAGCTAACAACTAGTGGTGCTCCGGTGGCACATGTATTACTTCAAAGGAGTTGAGAAACTAGAGACAGACAGACCAACTAGGAGGCTTTTCCAACATTCTGTTGTTGTTGTCAGGTACCATCAGAGTAGAAATGCCCCCAGAGTTTTCCAGACTGTAATCTTCACAAGAGCAGATCGCCAGATCTTTCTCCTGCGGAACCCCTTGGTGGGTTTGAACTGCCAACCTTTTGGTTAGTAGGTAAGTGCTTTAACTGTTGCACCACCAGGGCTCCTTCTCCAACATTCCAGACTTGAGTTAATGAAGGACAGAAGCAGAATGATGGCAGACAAAATGAAGTTAAAGAATCCAAGAGGCATTCCATGAGGAGAGAGATTAAACCTATTCTGTCCTCTAACCTTTTTAAATGGAATATATGGACCAGGTTGAGGCTGACTTCTCAGTCTGCTATGATTAATGTATTTTACTGCCAAGACTTTACTTTGTCTAAAGTTGATATATATATGCCTGTTTCCAAAAATAGTCTTAGCTATTCTCCACATAACTTAGCCTCTTTTAATATATAACTATTAAGCTAACTGCTATTGTGTTGCTCTTCATTTTGTAACTACAAACTCTGCAGCTAAGAATCTACTGAAGTAATCCAGGCAATTCATAATAGAAAACAAAATGGTAATATTAAGGCAGCTAAAAAAGTGGAGAGAAAGAGGTAAACTGGAGAATGTTGGGGCAAGAACTGGTAGGATGTGGAGGGTAATAAAATATATGTTAAAGAAGTGAAAGTGAAAACCAGGGCAGCTAACAAAGATAGTTAGAGTAACAAATTAAGTTAAATTTGTGGGGAAAGTAATGATGTCATGCAGACAATAGAAGAAACGAAGCTGAAAAATGAATAAATGATCAGAGGTGTAGATGTCAGACTTGAGATAGATGAGAATGGGCAGTAGGAACATGAAAATATGCAAAGTGGCAATGTAAAATAAGAAGAGAGGAAAAAAGACTAAGCCTTGCAGTATGCTACAGATTAAGCAATAAAAAAATAGAACGTTAAAATTCATACCAAAGACAGCAGTTGCTGAGAAGCAAATACCCTGAATAATCCACAAACTGAATCAGTCCTTTAAAAATTTGTAGCTGGTTATAAAATCGTAAGAACTATTTTATTATTCTCTAATAGAAATAATTCTATATTATATACAGATCACTGTGATTAAATAAAAACACTGTTTAGATTATTAAAACAAAAACATCGCCAAATTTATCAGATTACACAAAATCAACTAAGAGAAAGTTATTTTATACAAAATTGGCTACAGTATGAATTGACATTTTCTAATTAGTAGCTAATTAAACCATAATGAGGAAAGCAAGGTATAACTAAGGTTTCTTTTTTAGTTTTAAATTTACCTTCCGAGTAAATTTATTCAGGTACATTACTCATGGTAGTTCACAGGTAACGAGAATTTATTTTTAAATTTGAACATGTGCCACAATATATTTTTATTATTAAAATAAACTCAAAGGATTAATATTCCAACTTTCCATAAAAAATAACATTCTACTTAACACTTAAATTTTCTTTTTTTGGCAAAGGTGAATCAACTTTTTAAAATATAACTGTTTAAATCAATAATATCCAACTCCTAAGAGCCTAATCGAATAGACAGAAACAATATTACAAATAATATAAAATAATTTATATTTGGCTTTGAAATGCACTTTTTATACTTACATTCAAACACTGGTACACACCATACTACTTCAAATCAAATAATGAAGCTATGCCATAAGGACCAAACCCAGGAAATTCTGTAAAGCTATCACACTTTCTTCCTCTCTATAATGTATTGGTTAAATGCTCTCTATTCCTCACCCTATGCACGGGATGGACTCAATACTTCAGGCTGAAATCCTACTATTCCCACTCCATCCTCCCCAACACCCTCCCATCAAATATTAAAAAAAAAAAAAAAGGAAAGAAAGAAAACACAACAAAGCCCAAAGCCCCACTCTCTGTCCCAATCACACCTTCTCTAGGGAAGAGGCCTTTCTTGGTGGTTGAACCAGGGTTGGGGGAGGGGAGACTGGTTCTGGTTCAAGGAGACTCCAGAGTGCTGCAAGGTTCAAGTCAAAAGGAGGTGAGAGAGTCAGGTCAAACAAACATCAATCAAAGTGTATTAATTCCCCAAAACTGGAAAATCACAGTTCACTATACAGCACAAATAATTTCTCAAGAAAATACACAAGACTCAATTCTTCTCTCATTTCTATCTTGTCTACTACTATATACACCTGTATTACTACTGAACTGAGTGAAAAGAGAGATGTGGCTGTACATGAATCAAGTTCAGAACTGACTGCCTATTACTCAATTAACAATGCGGATTTCTAATAAGCTCTAAGATTGCTTTTTTCCCATAGGGGCTTTTTCTAGGAGCAAAACAGACTGCATCAACAGTAGCAGATGACACACTTTAAAAAATGCACTCAATTCCTTCAAAAGTGACTTCAATTATCTTTTCCAACATTAACAATCAAAGGTTAGCAGCATCAAGAAAAATAAACTAATGATGTAAAATATTTTACCTGCATTTGTCACAACAGATCATGTATCCATCATCATGTGTAAAACCACATATGCACCTGGTTACATCAGTACCATAACTTCCATCCTCAGATGTGCTGATGGTAGTAGCACTGGAAGTTTCATCAAAATTAGGAGTGGTAAATATGCCTACTTCATTTTTGCTAATAAGAACTGATGGAGGAGGGGAAGCTGGAGGTGTTGGAGGAGGACGAGCACCATAATTATGGTCCTGGATAATTGAACACAAATACAGAATAATATTATTTCATTTGAATGATATGAACTCAGCAACTTAAATAAAATTCAACCCTTAATCTGAATACTCAGAGACATGAAATTGATTCATTTCTTCCTCAACGCCTTTAAAATAATGACTTGGTGAAGCCAGATATTAAACCATAGTATAAAGTGAATATGTCTACCTACAACCTTGGTCACCTTCACACCCAAACTCCATCCCAAAAAACAAAAGACATCATCACAGTCCTATGGTCACACAGCTCCACCTTCAAGATGAAAGCAGGCACAACATGAATGAACCTTGAAAACATTATGCTGAGTGAAGTCAGTCAGTCACAAAACAGCAAATACTGTTACGACCTCACTTAAATGAAATAAGCAAATATACAGAAACCAAAGCTTGTTAGTGGCTATCAAGGAGTGGGAGGAAGGGGGAATTTTTGCTTGGGGAGCACTAAGTTTATGTTAATGATGGTAGAATGATTAGGAAAAAGGGGATAAGGGTTGCTCAACATGAACAGTGTAATCAATATCACTGAATTGTGTACGTAGAAACTGTTAAATAGGAGAATGTTTTGTTAAAGATATTTGCACCAAAAAAAAAAAAAAAGATGGAAGCAGGTGCAAGATGCAAGAATTGAGATTTAAAAAAACTTCAGGAACGTGGAAGCTAAAGAATAAAAGAAAACAACAGCAAAAGGCATACTACTGCTATAAACTAAAACACTTTCTTATACATAAAATGAAAGTTTTATTTTAATTTGGCAATTTTTATCCTATTTCAAGTAGTAAAAATCTCTCATAATTGTACCTCTATAATTATCAGTTCTGCAATCAGAAAACTTTATTTGAAGGTCTGTTTGACTCTAAGTTCTGCTTCTTACTAGCTATGCAACATTTAAGTTAATCAGGATAAGCTTTCATTTTTCTCAGCTATTCGATGTAGATGATAACTGTACCTATCTCATGTGGTTGTTTTTGAGGAGTAAATGAGATAATATACGTAAAAAGGCTTAGTAGAGAGCCTGGCACATAATAAGTGCTCAATAAATAGCAACAATATAATTTAGAATTAACAAAAAATAAAATAATTTAGAATTAACAAGTAATACAGTACAACTGTACCTACAGTCTTTATAGAAGGGGTAAAGAATGATTACACCAACCCATTAATAGCATAAAATGTCATAACTAACTTCCAGGGAATTTCTCTTACAGATTTTTAATACTCTGAATAATAAGAATATGGCTAATAAAAAAATTAAACTATATATTTGCTTATTTAGATAGTATGAAACAACTGTGCTTTTTAAATACAGGGTTTTAAGCATAACACCATACACATCTATTTTCAATCTCAAGATTTAAAAAATAAAACCCTTCCAGAGAAACGTTTTACACTTACCGCATAGGGCAAACCAATGTAACTGTGTGAATGATGCGAGCTGCTGGTATATAATTGGTGGGGATAACTGTTGGATTTCTCAACTACCACAGGGCTAGCTTCTACAGATTCTGGTCTGGGGGGAAAAAAGTTGCATCAAAGAGAATTCCATTCATTTTTTTCTTTTCATTAATTTAAAATTATAAGTACTAAAATATGTGACTATACAAATACAATGTCCTTTTATAGTAGGTGGACCCCTCATGGATAGGATATTTTCTATCTAGATTCCGTTATCATAACAAAGCTTTTGTTTAATTAAGTAAAATAAATGTCCTATCCCAACTTTAAATATAGCGGTTCCCTAGTGAACCCAATTCTGAAGCCAGTTCACAGTGAAATGAATCTCTCCCTTGCACATACACAACAACGTGATTTGTTTCTGTGCCTTTATCCTTACCATACTCACTACTTGAAATGATTTTTTTCATGATAACTCTAATCCTACCTCTTACTCAAAAATTTCCCTTAAATTTAGTATTACTTGCATTATTCGTAGTTTGACTTCTTAATGAGTTTTACACTCTACAGTTATCTTTCTATAATCAACTGCTTCTTGATATTCCCCCCC